GGAATTGTTTCAAACTTTAACTTCTGCTTCTGGAATTGTTTCAAACTTTAACTTCTTCTTCTGGAATTGTTTCAAACTTTAATGTCTGCTTCTGGAATTGTTTCAAACTTTAATGTCTGCTTCTGGAATTGTTTCAGCTTCTCATTCCCTACTGTACTTCAGATTAAGCAATTTTTACCTAATGTTAGTGAACATACTGGGACTATGAAAAGAATAACAGAAGATGTTTTAAAAACTTTCTTTTCAATACGAACCAATTAGAAACTACGCACTCACTTTATCAAGGTGGACATTCTGTTCAAGAAACGGATATTTATTTCAAATGGAATCAAAAAGTTGTTTTCAAAGTCTTAATTTCAAGTCAAAGTATAAATACTGAACTTCATATTTTCTTAGTGTGAAAAGTGATGTTATTCAACGACAGTATGTTTACTGGTTTCTTTCAGAAAAGAGACCACTAGTTCGCATGATCTCTCAAATTAGCGACACTAGCCAAGGGTCAGTTTTAACCCCTGAAAAGATGGAGCGGCTGAAGATGTTCCAACAACAAGTGAATCAAGCTGGTGTGGTCATTGTGATTGTGTCCAAGGAATATACCAGTTCTAAAACATCACAACAGCAGGTTCGTAATTCATCCGTGTGGCGTTAAAGAAACCCGATCTGTACCTTCTAGATAGTAATAAAAAAAAACTTTATAGTTAAAAAGATAAATAAAACATGACCTATTACTCCAGAACACACAATCAGTTTTACTTAAGCCAGTGTTTCACCATTATGGTTTCATCGGGGTAAACGAGACACATGCTGAGGTAAGCTTAGACGAAAGATTTTAAAACTCGTACTCCCCCATAGTATTAGAACTCGTTTGAAGTAGTGAAGCCAACTACAATCATTTGTTTAAATAATAATAGTGGTTTCTATTGAACTTTATGTACCCAAAAATGTATCATTATTTATAACATAGATAATAAACGTACTTCGTTTGACGGTTCACGGGCAAAAAATGTTATTTAATAGTAGCCATCTAAAAATCAACAAAGAAAATCTCAGCAAAAATTTGGATCTATTAATATTTTAAAAAACAAACTTCGTAAAATTACCCCTACAGGCGCCAAATCTTCAAAGAATTTCTGGAGGGGGACCCCCCCCCCCGAATCTCTAGTCCTGTATTGCAAATCTTGGTATTGACATGTTTTCTTTTTCTCATTTCGAGTACTGGTCACCAGAGAACAAAATGTACATCCAACTTTTATTTTATCATATGTAGCTGTGTAAAAAGGATACAAGGAACGTGTTGTGTGTTATTTCTGATTGTGAGCGTATATTTCATGAAAGGTTTTTTCTCAATATAGGTATTCTACATTGAGCATAGAAAACAAGTGATCTTAATAAAATATGACCACAGGCCAATACCATCGTGGTTCCGGATGCTGATAGGAAATGACATGATCACAGTAAGTTTTATTTAATGATATTACTAGAAATGACATGATCACGGTAAGTTTTATTTAATGATATTACTATAAATGACATGATCACGGTAAGTTTTATTTAATGATATTACTAGAAATGACATGATCACAGTAAGTTTTATTTAATGATATTACTATAAATGACATGATCACAGTTAAGTTTTATTAATGATATTACTATAAATGACATGATCACGGTAAGTTTTATTAATGATATTACTAGAAATGACATGATCACAGTTAAGTTTTATTTAATGATATTACTAGAAATGACATGATCACAGTAAGTTTTATTTAATGATATTACTAGTGGAGTTTTTCAT